CCCCGTTCAACTAACGGATCAAGCCTGCCGTCCATGATAATTTGTAAGTGAACGAATATTGATATTTCGTTTTACGCCGTTGTCGAGAAAATCAATATTATTTCCCAGACTACGGGTTTGACGCGCGTAGCAGCGAGTACTCATCGGCCAGCATCAGTGGCGTAATTACGGGGGGGGATTTGGGTGTCGTATCCCCCCCCTTGACCATTTTTTTTTTTTTTTTTTTAATCGTCAAACACATTTATGTACCTACTAATTTTATTAATATATATTTCATAGATAATACAAAAATCACCTGAATCTCCATAATATTATACAAATATATAATCATCCATCAATATTATCATATACAGTGTGATCACGATTTTAGGTACCACTGAATATCACAGACGGATGACTTTGTATTGAAATGGGGTTTTCGGGAGGCTATAGGGAGCACTTAAATACATATTTTCAGACCAGTTTCAAATTTTTAGCTCACTCGGTACGCGCATGCCGCATGCGCAATATTACTTTTTTTTAAATGGCAACCCCAGTTTTTTCTGCAGATTCAGGTAGAGTATTTATTTTTGAACATTTATTGAACATTTATGCATAATTCGTGTTTAGTGATATTTTCATTTATAACCAGTTGAAATAATAAAATAAGAGCCAAATAAATGTTTAATGGCGGGCGGAAATCGGCCACAACCGACGCCTTAGTCCACTCAGCCAACCCCCCCCCCCCCCCCCAATCAAACATTTATTTGGCACTTATTTTATTATTTCAACTGGTTATAAATGCAAATTGCATTAAACACGTATTATGAATAAATCCAAAAATTGACTTTCTCTAACTTGGTCAGTTTTATAAATAGAAAAACTTTCAATACAAAAAATGTTTAAAAAAAAATACTCTACCCGAATCTGTAGAAAAAAAGTGGGGTTGCCATTTAACAAAAAGTAAGTCAAATTGCGCATGCGCATACCGAGTGAGCTAAAAATTTTAAACTGGTCTGAAAATATGTATTTAAGTGCTTCCTATCGGCTATCACCTCCCGAAAACCCCATTTCAATACAAAGTCAGCCATCTGAGATATTCAGTGGTACCTAAAATCGTGATCACACTGTATATACAATATTAGTTATTACTAGGGGCCGGAATTATATTCTTTTAAAATAGCCAAAATAAGATGCTAATATTCTCTTAAAAAGTTGAAAATATTCTTCCAATATTCTTTAAAAATAATAATAAAATATGCAAAAAAAAATGCTTTTTTTATTAAAATATTCTCTTGAACTAAAAATATGCATTTATATGCAAAATAATTAAGCAAATAATACGAACTCATATAAATAAATAGGTACATAATATGCAAAATAATATAAAAACCTGATATAAATAGGTACCTACATAATAAAAAATACTACTTGTTAAGAAAAGTTTGATTTAATATTTAATTATTTTAAATTTTTAACTAAGAAAATTTTTGAAAACAGTTGACAACTATATTTTGTTCCATGTTCCCTGATGTCATATTTGTACAACGGTCGGTTAAAATGTTTTTATATGTGCTATTTATATTATTTAGGCCACTGCAACAAAAAATATCGAACATCTACAAAAATTAATCGATATATTCTCTAATATTTTTTATTATACAAAATATTCTTTTATCTTGAAATATTCCCAAATATGCAAAATAAACTTTTGCCATTAACTCACCTGTTTCATGATTTGTAAAGATTTCGAACCCCCGTCTGACTGCATAGACTCAAAAAAAAATATGCAAAAGAATATAATTCCGGCTACTAGTTATTACATACAGATCATAATAGTTGTATTCTTGTATTGAGGGGTGCTTATTGCTTATAGCTTATGCCTTATACGATTAAAAAAAAAAATGTTGAGGGGGGGGGGGGGGGGGTAATTGGTGAAATGTACATACATTTCATCCCCCCCCACAACCATGACCAAATTACGCCACTGGCCAGCATGATTATATTATTTTGGGTCCGTCTATTTTACTAAAAACCAACAACCGATTTTTATTCTTAAATTCAGATTTAAAAATTGGCTTTTTTGATCTATATAAAGTATGAAAAAAAATACCGACGTGTGCTGCTCACAAGTGAGTGATTTAAACCGCGGTTTACCGAAACATACTCGACGAAAAAAATATCATAATATCATATCGTAATGTCGTTTATCATTATCATCATATTGTTATACACTGCATCGGTAATATTGTCATTATTGTTATTTATAATATTATCCCTATAAGACTGCAGTGTATGGCGTCGACGTCCACCCGGCACTGGAGTGTCGGCGGCCGCGAGATTTATATTGTAATATTATAAAAACAATACAAAATTGTATTATTATTGTACATGCTGTATACATATTACGATATCGAAGACTCCTTCGAAATAAATCAATTATGTATATTAGAATAATAGAATAATATACTTAAAAGACATTACAAACGACTCCATATGGACGTATATAAGTATATACCTATACACGTCGACGTCATATAGTTTCAATCAAAGCTCTACAGATGACACATTCAGTTGATTTGCAAAAATATACTCATTGCAATATATAATATAATAGACTTATATAACAGAGCACTATATATAAATATAGGTCTGTCCGTCTGGGTATATATTATAGACGTTCGTTAAAACTATATAATGCCTATATATATTATATTCGATAATCTATAGAATAATGTTAATTATTATATTATATCACTATACATACTCATATTTATATTATACATTATACCCAAATACAGTGTTGGATTAAGATATTTTTAGCATATAATATGGCACTCATTATTTTTGCCCTAACACACATCCCAAATGGTGCTAAATATTATGCATTTTCTTTATTATAAATACAATGCGATAGTGAAAATAATTAAAAGTGATAACACAATTATATATTTCATACTTCATAGAGAAAATTAAAAGTAAGTTTTTTATCATTATATCTTATTATCATATATTCTTATCTTTTATGATAAATCATATTAGTTAATGAGTATAATACAAACATTAATGTAATTACTGATAATATATATTAATATAATTATAAAAAGACTCAAAAGAGTTAAAATTGTAAAAGTAAATTTGGGTATCATATTATAAGCTAATCTATAGTGGATCTATACAAAGGAACATTTATGATATAGTTCATAGACATATAATAGTTATATGCAAGTGATTGTGTAAAGTATAATATTATTAGACCTAGTTTGTCGTTTAGGGACATAAACATTTATAAAACTAAGCAATTCTCGACAATTTATGTATAGCCATTGAGCAATCTAAATATGAATTTCAAATCAAATATGTTTCTTCGGACAACAAGGCTGCTCATGTTAGTGTGTCTATAATAACGGCTTATAATAGTGAATGTGGTTGTCGTGGAAAACTACATTTGTAGGGTATAAAACGAATGAAACGGTTTTGGATTGCTTCGAGGCATTGCAATGTATATGAATATTTACAGAAGGCGACCAGATAATATAAAATTATATTGAAGAGTGGAGAGTACAAAAGAGAAATGTAAAGTTTTTAAAGTAATGGGATTTGAAACATCGTTACATGTCCTAGGTATAAATCTAAGAATGGATGATGATTTTTTGAAATATTATAATATAATGTCTATTAAAAGATAAAGTTGAGATATACGTATACGTTCTATATAACACCTAAATCAGTATTTTCAACCACACAATGAAGTAAAATATTATTTAAATAATAGTTGTGAAGAACTGGAGCACGTGACCTAGGAAAAGACATAACTTTACATTTATGTTCAACAACCAATTATTTTGTTTGCACCAGATTGATAAGGTATTTAAGTCATCCTACAAAAGGATATATATAGTTATATAGGTATATATAGATGCTTGCCCACTTTAAACATTAATAAAAATGTTAATAAAAATCACATATAGGTTTCAATCATATTTATTAAATGACAATATTATATACATTTTTAATATGATAGATTCCAAATCACAACATTATTCTGCAGAGTATTTCGGTCTATAAAAATAAAATTTCGAACAAGTAATTATTTATGAATTATTGGTAGGTATGTAGGTACCTACGTATTTAAAGATAAGATTAGCGAAGTCTTTATAATATATAAACTTATATGAAATTGACACCAAATCTTGCACACGTGTAAATTCCCATTGAGGTACACATACGGGAGTGTTTATAGCTTCGTTTTAATTTTTTTTGTCATATGTGGGGGCTCACATAGTCACATAATAAGGAATATTGTTTGGATCACGAAAATCGAATAGGGTTGCAACTTGCTATTGCTGGTTAAAAAATAAAATAAAATTGTATATAATCTATATATACCTAAATATAATTAATAAACATATAATATGTTTGTAGCTTATATATATACATACTTCAACTCAAAAACTATGTAATGTATATAGGTAAAATATTATACTCAATTGATTTTTAAGAAAATTCCAGAGACTGTTCTTAGAAATGTCAGGCAAGTTTAGAGAGTATAGTTAGAACTATAAAAATATACCATGTGCTATTTCCAATTCACCACTGCAGGCGCCTTAGCCCATTAAATATCTCATTTTTTTCACAAATCGAAGTAGTGCTGATTTACTCGTGAACTCGCCGCACCAAAACTGAGATACGTCTATTTGTATGCAATATTACAATATATATTATAATATATAACGCCGTATTTTATATATTATTTTTTCATTATTTCATTTTTTCCCTGGTGAATTCGTGTTATAAAGCAAGTATTATATAAATAATACTATAGATACCATAGAACAATTACAGTGAAATATAACATTTTACATTTTGTAAATATATATATACGCCATATACCTATATACATAATTCGAATAAAATATAATCTATGGTAACTGCCGAGTATCATTTGCGTGTGATTATTAACACTTAAAAACAGTAGGTATACATACTGATTTTATTATTCTGAAATGCTATAAAATAAAATGGATGAAAATCAGACAAATGTGAACATGATTCTAGAAGCGGCGGGCGATGGACCCGTAAACGGAACGAGCATGCCGATAAACAGGGTTTTGCGGGTACGAATTCTGGTTCACGGCAATGGCGCTGGAGACTCTGGTATATCTATGATCGTCAATCGCATAAGAACCATAGCACCACTATTGATGATTGATACTGGACGAGCGGCCATATAATCACATATTAACAAAATATCCATTTATAAATATGTTTAAAAAACACGTAAACAAAAATATACAAAATATATAATAACTTCTATTAACTAGTAAAATAATAATACCAATTAGTGTACATATAATCAATATGAGTAGGTACATAGCCGTCCCAAGGGGGAGGGGAAAGAGGCAAGTGCCACAGGGCGTTCATGAATTTAGGGAGCGTCATTAAAACGAACGATAAAAAGAAAAATTTGGTGTTTTATTTCAGATATTAATTTTCCTTTTATACTGTATTCTGTAATACCGAAGAAGAGTATAAACCTATTAAATTATATATAATATAGTATTATACTATTAACTATTAAGTATAAAATTATGTAAATAATGAATTACATTTATACATGCCTATAATAATGTATAAATACCAATATTACCAAAGGATAGAATATATTATTGATACATCATTTATAATGATAAAATATTATTATAAATTGTAACTTTTAGGTATTATACATATACCTATAATACGTCTATACCTATATTAACCTCTTACCTGTTGTTTACAGACAATTTAAAGTTTCAATTTTTTAGTTTTTTTTCTATAAATATCAATAGAATTGTATTTGTTGTGCCAAAAAGCGTCGACATTTAATCCAAGGCTCCTGATATATTGCTTAAATAGCAGTTGAAAAATATTAAAAATACATGCACTATTTTTTTATGAGAATTTACAGTTCAATTTTTGACAGCATTTATCAAATTTAAAATTTAAAAATGATTTTGTAGTTAAAAATGTATAAAATGTTAAAATGTTATAGCTAAGGATTGAAAACTTACAACAAAGTCCACCTAAGTATAGGTTATTATTCTGTAACCAAGAAATCTCTTTTTTATAGTTATTATATGTTCAAATCTGGAGGAAATTAGATATTAAATAACCCGGCATAACGATTTTAGTTATTTTGTTGTAATTTTATAATATTAAAACAACTTAAGGGGCCTGCTCGCGATTTTTCAAATTTTCCGCAATTCTATAAAATTTGAAAATTAAATTTTATATTTTAGTTGCCACCTCAATTATAAGACTTTTCCACTAATCTACTACCCAATACCTATTTAGGGGGGGGGTTGATAGGGTGTATTATATCGGTCAAAACACAGTTTATAGGAAAAACTCTCACACCTCGTAGATTGGTCCGATTTCCGTAATTTTTTTTTTGTTAGATAGAGGAATATTTTTTACAGGGCGCATTGGACTTCGATTTTTGATTACATCGCTAAAAACAAAAAATAATACAAAAACTAAAAAGTTGTAAAAATTGATTAAATTCAAACTTGTAACATAAGACTTAGAAAAATAATGTTGAAAATCCAAGTCCAATGCGCCCTGTAAGAAGTCTTCCTCTATTTAACAAAAAAAAAATTACGGAAATCGGACCAATCTACGAGGCGTGAGAGTTTTTCCTGTAAGGCATGTTTTTTAGCAAAAAAACAGGTCGCGTGCAGGCCCCTTAACGGCTACCGTATTAATAATAACAGTAATAATAATATAAATACAATGTACAATATCCACACTAACAAACCGCGTCGCGTCACCGCTTAAAATCGTTTTTCTTATACAATGATATTATATCATTGAATTTAAATTTAACACCATTCATTATACTGCAGTGACCCACTTGTAACCTACTGTACAGCAGAGCGACATCCACAGTAGCGTACGCAGGATTTTAGTTCGGTTAGGGTTTCACCTGAGTAAATAATTTACATTATTTTTTTCTAAATAATTTTTATGTAATTGGTTATAACAATTATAATTAGTCTCAAATGTAGTCTACATTAATAACACTCGAGTGTTCAATCTTGACTCCTATGGTCATCTATAGAGCCTCTTCGGGTCGTAATATGTGGTAATTATCAATGGACGGTGATACATGATGATACACCATATGTCGGTTATGACAGATAACAAGCAATGTTCTAAATCAGCCAAAAAACTGAAACTATGATTATCGACGTCTTTGTCATATTTAACAATTTATATTATATCTATTAAAAATTACCAACAATTGATCGACTTTGTGTATTTAAATGGTTTTTATTTTTTTGTCAACGGAAGAAATTTCAGGGGGTCAGAACCCTAGAACCCTACCCCTGCGTACGCCACTGGACATCCACTTACCCACCTTTTGTTTCTAAGAATTAATAATTTTTTTTCATTATTAATTACACAGGAACATAGGCCATTGGGTGTTGTTGGGTTGGTACATGGTACAGTAGGGTTGTGATGGTGGGTAAGGTTGATGAGGAACATGTATATGCCAAGGTTTCTGCTCACAACGAACCCGGATGGTAACCCATCCGAGTACTAGTGGCAGCACCAGTTGCTTACTCTCAATCACATGACGTGATTGATTTCAGTCACTGCAGAGCCGCAGCGAGCGACAGGATTATTAATTGAGGTGGAACAAAATCATATTACTATTAAGATTAACTATAATAATCCGTTATTATAATATATCATAATATATTCAACTAATATTGCCACCCATATCTATGTTACAAATGGGTGGGGGGGAAAGGCAGTACCTTGTATTACTTAGGTAAGTATCAGTTATTTTTTAAGAATTATAATTTTTAACCATTTTTCATGCTCAAATTAGGTACAATAAACTCCGTATAACGCAAAAATTAACATTTCTTTTAAAAATGCTAATTATGATAAAAATGGAAGGTTTTATTATTATTTTTTTTTTATCTAATCACGGTGTGATTTCATGTATGATTTGCACTCATATGAATAAAGCATTTAGATCTTTAACTCACTATCATTTCTCTGTTACTAAATTTTTAAGATAAAAAAAAACTTTGTTCAGTTTGAAAAAAATTATTTAACTCAAAACATTTTTTTTATTACTGAGTATGCGTGTGGAAAAAATTGTTAAAAATTTGAATTTTTCAAAAATAAATGTAAAACACCAACGTTCATTCTGCTGAAATTATCAATGCTGCCTTAAATTGTGTTCATATAGTATACTTTCATAGGATTATATGAACTATTGAATTATATGATAGATATTGATTAGGTATGTATATTAAAATATATTTTAGAAAACGCCACAAAATGATTATTTTATAGTAAAATATAATACTAGCCATAATTTTAACTTTATTTGATACAGCTGTCATACAGGTAAATACTATAAATGGTATAGAATAATTCTTATATAATAATAACTCCTTTCGGAGAACTTACTTTGTAACTTACTTTATATTGGTGCATCGTTCATACAACTTTTCTGAATAAAAATCATTTTGGTTTGATATAAGTATTAATTATTCGTATGTATGTTTTAAATATCTCAAAAACAATATTATTGTATACAAAAGAGTAATATTTAGGTAAATTTAAAAAAAGTAAGATTATGACTAATAATAATAATAATAATTAATAATAATAAAATAACCATTGTAGCTATTATTTGTGAGTACTCATATAAATTATTATTAGACTTTAAATTTCCTTTTTGTGATTTTAAATTCAACATATTTTAGTAATAATAAACCCACGATGATTAATATAAATTATATTTATAGTTATATAATATAATATATTTATTAAAATAAGATTGTACTACAAAAATTTGAAATATATACCTAATAAACCATCATTTTTTAATATCAAGAAGCTTTATTTATTTAATATATCTATATACGAGTATGTAAAATGTAAATTTAGTGTCAATTTATAAGCTCATTTCTACTTACTTGTAGAAGGTAATCATACATTTTGATTTGAAATCACACTTTTTAATATTTTTAAAAGGATCTCTTCTTGTGGATTTAAAGTATGATCTGTATTAGATTTGTAAGTTGTAGGATTAAACAATGAATTAAAATAAGGGTAAGATGGCGAACAAGATCCATGATTTGGTGGACAATACTTTAATGGTATATGCGAATTCGAGTAGGTCACTGGTACACTACAAGGTTTTGGTTTTGGAATATGGATTAGTGGTAGGCAAGGTGTATGGATCTTATTAATTGGTGTAAACATACATGGTGGAATAGGAAAGCGTGGTGTGGATATTGGTATATTGTCATTTGATGTGTTATCATTTGGTGTATTATCATTTGGCGTATTATCATTTGGTGTATTATTATCATTTGGTGTATCTTCAGTTGGTGAATAAACAGTTGGTGTTACAGTAAAGTCGCTCGGTATGGGTGTTACTGTAGGATTGTCCGTCGCTAGGGGATTAGGTTCGCTAGGCGTTGGAATAAGTTCAATTGGTGGAATAGTGCAGCTTACATTTTGAATTTTGTTTAGCAAATAATTACAAAACAAATTATAAATAATGAACTTGTGTGAATTCCCTAGAAGAGAGTTACAAAGAACATTATTTGAATTATTTGCATTTTCAGCTATAGCGCTACAAGGATTAGGCAAGGTATTAATGTTAGCGGGTAGAGAGTTACTAGGATTAGGTAAGGTATTAGTGCTACCAGATACTGCAGAGTTACAAGGATTAGTTGAATTATTTTTGTTACCTGATACAGAGTTACAAGGATTGGTTGAATTATTTTTGTTACCAGGTAGAGAATTACAAGGAGAAGGTAAGGTATTTGTGTTAACGGGTAGAGAGTTGCAAGGAGTAGGTATGGTATTTGTGTTACCAGGTAAAGAAGTAAAAGGAATAGGTAAATTGTTTGTATTACCGGGTATAGAGTTAAAAGAAATAGGTAAATTGTTTGAGATGACAGGTAAAGGGTTTAAAGGAACTGGTAAATTGTTTGTGTTACCAGGTAAAGAGTTACACGGAACAGTTGAGTTATTTGTATTATAGGGTAGATAGCTAGGATGATGAATCGTTGAGAATGTTAAAGGCATCTGAAAACTAAATACTGGTGAAATAATCGAAGATGTGTTTTGTCTAATTGTTGGTGGTATTAGTGGTATCAGTAAATTAGAAATTAATTTTAATGGTAACTTAAATAAACTAAAAGAGTCTGGTGGCGATTTGTTGGCTGTGCGTGATGAGTTAGTTGCTGTTGACGTCACTTTTTGAACAGTTGATGATGATTTAGTGGCCGTAGACGTTGATTTTGAAACTGAAGATTGTGATTTTGATACTGAAGACTGTGATTTTGGAACTGAAGATGATGAATTATTGATGACTGGAGACGATGATTTTGAAACCAAAGCAGGGGATTTTGAGGCTGTAGACGATGATTTTGTAACCGATAATGATGGTGGTAGTTTTAAAATCCAAGACAATATTGGTTCCGATTCCGGTTGAGGCAACGGTCTTACCGAATTACATCGATATTTTTTAGGCTGTGTTATGGCTTGCATAACCTGGAAATAATAATCAAATTAATTAAATGTTTCTTATACCTAAACATATAAAAATATATAATATAACAATTTATTCTGGTAATTTATTTAAACAATTATAATCATATATATTATATAATTACACTTATAGCAAGTATAGGTAGTGTGTATATATTAGTTTGTATGTCTGTTAAAAATATTTATATATATATGAAACGTTCAAACTTTCAAAGTACAATATTTTAAATAATAAGCAGCTAAATCTTTATTATGTATAAAAATGTATAGTTGCCCTAAGTAGGTATCCAATAATTAAAGGTAAAGAAAGAAAAAAATTAATTTCTTACCATAAACTAATTCGAAAATTTTTAATTATAATAAATTTAAATAAATTATGAGTTTAAGCAACTATATAATAATTTTTGGTAGATTTACCCTCGATTTTATTTTTAATTTCCACTAACCACAACTTATGAGGACCCTTGTATTTAAAGTTTTTTATGGAAAATAATTTTAAAATATCAATAAAAATGTTCATATGATTATAAATAACTCAAAAACGGCCAACATATTATTTTGGAAATTTCTTGGTAAATAGAAAATGCTAATATAAACTTTCGGCGAATACTTCATACTTAAATGGTTATTTTTTAAGTTAGGCGAAAGCGGGGGCACGCGCCTAACCTCCAATAATTAGTATGAATTTAAATATGCAGATTATAATATTACCATGAAATATTTTTCTCTTGATACATAAACAATAAGCATAGTAATTTAATAAATAGTCATTATTTATATTTATTTAACTATTGGAATTTTTTATATTATTAATAGTTTTCAAAATGTTAAAATGTGCTGTATTACCCGAGTGATGGGGTAATGCCACATGCGCTTGTGGGAAATTCCGTGCAATGATTTTAACATGAAACCACATATGATAACCATTACCTACTCAAATAAAAAATTGAAAAAACGACTAAATAAATTAACCAATTGTTATAAAATATTTCAAAAGTATTTATTTTTAAATACTGAATTCAAAAATTGTAGTTCTAATTATATTGGTGTATTAAAATAAAACATATTTCAACTTTTGAATACTTTAACAATATAAAAGTATGCTGTATGAACTCCATTCTCCCGACTCGGACGCGGGGCATTACCCCAATCGATTTTTGTTACATAATCAACATACAATGAAATGTGTAAAATAATATTATCTAGTTGGCGATATATTATATAAAGCTGAGAATATTCTCTACAAAACTATATTTTTAATAATATGTTATATAATAACTAAATCCATATAACTTATCACGTGACGAAATCCAGTACTTTTATTTAGTTTTTTTTGGAGATAAATGACCGACTTGATATCTCATCACATATTGATTACATTGTTATCAATATTTTTTCTGCTTATGAGACTAAACAGCTGATTATTTTTGGCCAATCACTGAATTTTAAAATATACTAGTTTATAAGATTATACATTATTTGAGCGTAATAAATTACCCAAAACGCGGTATTTCCCCACTTTCCACTACACCTAAAACCATTGAACCAAAATCGATTTTGTCGAAAACAGATTTTACTTATTAATAATTCTTTTTTTGTTTTTCTCGATGCTTTTGAAAACTACCTATTGAACATTTTCCATATTTATATCTCGAATGCACAAACTAGATTCACTTTATCACTATAAAAGTTACTGAAGTTGAAAATCGAAGCATTATTTCAATTACTTACCGTGAACACAGACACACAAATAAACACACCATTGTAAAATCAATACAATCATCGCTCCGCTCAAAATCTATAATTATTTAAAATTATATCACATGTATGTAATTTTGGAATTTATATTATATTATTATTTAGTATGTATATACGCTCAGTTATATGCATGTTTGTTTTTGAATTAATGTGATTTATCTGTAGTACCTACATATTTAATTTTTGTTTTATTGATATGAATGCCAAATTTGTATGAATTAATTAAATTTGTTTTTAGTTCATATTTTAAAGTTCTTAAATACAAATTTTTTAATGAATCTTAGAGAAATCTCTGGCCCCTGCTTATAAATAATAAATCACAATATATAAATAATTTATAAAGATTTTATAATTGTAATTTAAAAAATATAAATTTACTTGCTAGGTATACTGTTATACTGTATATGGTCTATAATATATATACTATAGATATAAGTATAATATATTATACCTAATAATTAATATGACATATTATATTATTTTCTCTGTGTATAAAATATATATACTAGATATATAGGTTACCTAATGAATTGTATTGTGCATATTTGATCATCTACATAATCTAATGATCCTATAATAAAGACCTACGCGCATAACCTATTTTTAGGTAGTACAGTGAAACTTCCATATTACGAAGTCTCATGGAGCATAGAACAAATCGCGTTTGTAAGATAAAGAACGCATATGCGGGTGTAGGGCCGTTCTTTTTTACAATGTTCGGTAAAGGGTCGGTTAACGCTAACCGACTGATAACAGATTTTATTACTGGCAAAATTAGGCCGGTTAAGTGACGGTTTCCATTAACCGAACATTGAACCTCTAATGTATGATAATAAATTATAATCATAATATTATATACTATATAGCCATAAAGAGGTATGTTTCATAATATAAATCGTCAATATAAATTTAAAAATAAGCCTCTATAATAAACTGGCGATCATAGAGTTAGTTGTCGCAAGTCAACTGTAGACAAATTCCATCATAATGTTCATCTGGCAATTATTGTTTATATTATTTTCTATGAAATGAATGTTAATATACTTTCCTACATGAATATATATTAATTATATAACTTTAAGAACTACAAATAATTTTTCAACAAGTTAATTTATGTAATTGAAAGTAAATTCATACCTAGTAGAAACACTACTAAAAAAAAATTAAAAGCTATAATTATTAATTAATATATAACTGTATTCGAGTGATTTGTAGGTATATAATATTATAATGTTAGTTAAATTTTACTTCGTATCATATATTAGGTTCTAAACTGTTTGAGTTAAAATTGACATACCTATAGGCTATAATTATATAAATGTAAAAGTTCAGATTTTTAACCATGTATTGCGGTTAACCTAGAATATAGTAAAGTCATAATATAATATATATAGATATGCATATTTTATATAATGATAATACGAAAGTTATGATGAATTTTGAAATTAATATAAGGTAATACCTAGTATTATATTTAAAATAAAAAAGGAAAATTGATTCTCAAGACTGTTAAACTTAGGTACTTCCAAGACACATAAAAAGCTAAACATGTAAGTACACCAGCTATATCAAATTTAAAAATCACTTAAACTATAGTTAAAGTATATACATGTAGATGCCTATAATATAAATTACTGTAATTATATAAGTTACGTTTTAACATACCTGGGTAGAGAACACAGCAGCTACTAGAACGATACCGAATGGAGTCATTGTGAAGTTTGATGGCGAACAGTGTAATGCAACGATTTAAGTAAGCATCGGTTTCTCCGGTGTTTTGATGTCTGAGCACGGACATCTTCTAAATTATATCATATTATATCAGTTATTATCAGTGATACGATTATGTGTTACCGGATGTCATTGTCATATTACATCATATCACGATGACCGTGTTAAACAGCGCTTACCTCTGATTTCAATAAAGACTTAGGAATGATAATAATTATATATATATATATAGGTACACTGCAGTATTTATAATGTTAATAGTAATATTTTTATACATTAATAATTGTGTTCGTGTGCTGATTCATTTTATTTTTCGAGCATCGTCACACGTCAGTATATAACCATCATACAAGTAGGTCGTTTGTCTGGTTTTACGTGTATAGAAGAAAACACAATATTCACGCTCTATAATACTACGCCGCAAATCCATATGCTGACGTAGATGTGTTTTTTTTCGCACAATATTGTTTACACGTGTGATTGCATGTGTTCACTGTTCAATCGAGAGTATATTTATCGAATTTTCAGAGCGTGAAAAAATAATATTGTTATGAACTTATGACATTTCTACAAAGCTTTAAAATTTAAATATTATACATAAAATAAAAATTTATGTATAGTGTTTATATATTATATACCAATGTCAAACAATTAATATTATGCAGTGTCTATTCATCTGAATAATTTCTCTATATCTAGTGATATATAAATATATAATCTGTACATACCAAGAAGAGACTTGAAAATGTCAACGAATTCAATAACAGTGTTTTTAACATGTTGTATCGTATACGCGTTTTATTTATTGACATTTACTGGCCCGTGCTGAAATTTAAAGATAATATAATATATGTATTTTACACATAAGTTTACGTCTAACAGTTTTCATGAGTCTTCCGATTCAGGAAGACAGCATTCTATGTACATTACGAAGCTATTGTTTCAAAATTATACATATTATATATGTATATGTAATAGTAGTACCTACCTAATTGACGGAGATATACCTCGTAATTTTTATCAGAGATTAATGTATATGTATGTAAGGCTTATATATCATATCAGCCGGGTTTATAAATAGAGATAAATAATAATTAATCAACGACACCTCAATTGCCCTTCGGACGATAATCCATTATGCATTTATGCGCGCGTATATTCCAAAAAATGTCTTCTCACACGTAAATACGTGATCAATCACACAAATTCGTATGAAGCAAAATATTATGATTTCTAGTTTTTAAATTAAAAATCCAATTATATTTATGCACATCATGTAATACATGAAATACATTGTATTGAATCCAGAATAACGCAAGTGCCTATATAATATACTTATTTTACAATATTAATTGTACCTGATGTGTACCTGTGTTGGTATTTCTTTTTCTAACCTTAATCAATCGAGTAATTGTTCTTACATCTATTTAATATTGTAAAATATAATGTATAATTAGTTTTGACTTAGATCATATAGCAAGCCCACGACAGTCCTGCAAGTTTCATACTCAAGTACCCACCTACATATATTTTTATCACGTCAATGGTGTACTTCATAATAATGTACTTCATTATAAGATAATATTATTGACATTAATATTGTACAATTTAAAGAATAAAATATTTGGCATTATACCTTGTGAAATATTAATATATTTTATTATAAGCTGGTTGATTAGAAACATAGTAAGTAAATAATTGTATTCGTTATAAAAGCACGTACATTTCGTAATAGCTATATTATATTCCAAAATATGTTATCAAAACTCGTATAAACAAAAGGACAAAACCTCCATAATATGTTTATCTCACTCCACAAAATAATTGTAGAAAAACACAGTTCAAATTACATTATTTATATTTTATTTAACGGTAATCCGAATGTTTTGACACGACAAAAACTAAGATACAATTGTACCTTCACAAAAAGTAGGTATAATAGATTTAAAACAATAACATTGATAAACGATTTGTAAGCGGAAGAAATGTTCTAAACGTATAATACTGCAGTACCTATATAGATCATAGGTACCTATACTCTATAGCGTAAGCATAGCGGCCTAATCCCGCTCCAATCACGGTATACTCACAATCGATATAGATCATCGAACGATTTACTTGATACGTATACCTAATGTATTAATCGACATACCTATTATTATTATTTATTAATATTATTTATTATTACATACAATATATAATATTATATAATATTATAGACGATCACAATCAAGTCCTGATGCGTGGTACGACGAGTGTCCGGGGACTAATAATTATTACACTCGAATACATCTGAGCAGCGCACGAAAAAGTTATTCGTTAAGTATCCATATACTCCCTATAGGCTACCCGGCTATATATACATATTATATGATTATATTCTATACAGAGACGAAGAGTGTGCAATACACACACGCACACCGTGTAAAATACGTATACGTATATCGATGACACACTTACACACACACTAGCGCAAGCACAAAACATTACGGATATCGATCAATATACATTTGTCCGTGTATTTCATGTTTATAAGGGCACGACGACTGCATACTATATAATACACGAGTACACGACCCTCTCTGCACACACACACATCTATTACACGTCATGTACAGGGTAAACGCCTTCCGGCCTTCAGTAAAATCCGCCTAAAAACCATATTATAATAATATATTAATATACATATGTATATATATACAATATGAACGACTGTCGGAGGGGGGTCTTGATCCTCTGTATGCGGTGTGCATAGTATACATTATTATATTATAGGCGAAGGGGACACACAGAAATTCGTTGTTTACGCACCGCCGTATCCTTGACTACTCGCACCCTCTCTCTCACACACACTTCACTCCCGCTCACTCGCTCGCTCGCCTTAGCCAAACTCCTCTCCTACGTGTGCATCGTCCGACAAGGAGTGACGTCACATTCATACGTATATATACATAACATAGTGCGTTATTATCGAATACCGCCGCCGCCGACAGTACAACAGATGACAATCGCATCCCCACCGCACCACGAACACCCCGCGAACATGGCCCATCCACAATGCATTATTATTACTGCTATTATTATTAAATACGCCTACTGCTCCCTATTGTACCTATAATAGGTCTCTTCGTGTCTGATGAGTCTCTTTCACCCGTTGACCACTAAAAAAAAATTATATTATACCAATAACCATGTAAAAATATAACATATAATAAGAAAAAGTACCTATGCATTACAAAAAACCAACACCAATGATTTTTCAACGAATTTCCATCATCGTTGGTAATACATTAATACCTACCATTAAACGAGAAGAAGATTTTTGTTTCATGTAGGTACCTAAATAAAATGCACTTAAACTGTTTAGATACATATTATTATTCTTTAGTACTTCACTACAACGCCACAACGGTCTCCAATTGCCCAGCGCATAACTTCAAAATTTAAATGTATTAAATCATTGATTATAAATACTAGTATTTATAATCAATGATTAAATGTATACAATATAGGTATAGGTTTACTGCAGTGGGTGATTGTATTTATAGTTTTGTCTAGCGAAATCACTGTTATAGTTGTTACATTTATACATATATACACCTATGTATATATTATGTATATAATATTATATATTTTATTGTATATTATATTCTATCCGACTATTTGTGGTATGAGTACATAGTCTAATCATTGTGTATCGTTAATTAAAACTCGTCCCCGTGGGCTGTCTGCAGAAGAATTTCACATAGATATAACATTATATGTGTCTACACTACACCGCAGTAGGTACTATATAGCATATAGGTATAATACACTTCGTCTTGCTATATAATATGTAAGTGTATAGAAAACCTGTTGGTCGCGGCGTGTTGATTTTGACGATCGGTTGGCCCATACCAATTCGGGTGGGTGTAGAGTTATGCGAGTATAATATATTATAGGTATATAGTATATACAATGTACATAGCACAGTAAGGTACTGAGGTATGTAGGTACCTATAAACCTACAGTCGTATATATTTTGTAACTTGTAAGCATATAATATTTTTGTAACGTATATAAAAGTATAAATACAATGTTCAAAAAAAACATATGCCGCAAGTGTGGCGGCTTATGCATGTGTAAAGGGTTATGGGATTTATATATTATATTTTTATGGTATGATTTTATTTGTAGCGTCCTTTTATAAGTTTGGTTAGTTTTGTTCACGAATTGCCTCATATTAATACATATGTATACCTAATCTTTTTATTTGTTGAGTATTTGAATTATAAATTATAACATTATCATTTATCACATATTTTAATTTCATTTTTAACATGTAGACTAACACAAAAAATGTATGTTGTATGCGGTATATTTAATCAAAAGTACTAATAACTAGTGTAAAATGCTTACCTATAGATTCCCCATTATAGTACGCACTTAATTTCAATTTCATAAAATCAGTGGTTTTGTCTTTGACGAACATTTTTTTAACATGTTATCGGTTATCGGATTATGTATAGGTATATCTATATCTAATTACTCAAGGCTAACAAAAATGATTTACCTTTTGTCGTGTGAGTCACTGTATATTTTAATGAATGAATTTATATATTAATTTAATTTTATAAAATCATTGGATATGTGGATATGTATACGAAACACAAGCAAATACAGGAGTTTGCAGAAGGATTTTGTCCAAATTTGAACTTAAATATTTATTAAAAAATCATGCCTATATTATGAAGGTGTCTTTAATATTCTGGAACTACTCTTATAACAACTTATGAGGAAACTTGCACTACATTTTCATGATTTTTGACCTAACGAAATTTGTTTTATTGGTATTTATAGAATAAAACTAAAAAAAATTAAAAATGCGAATGTTTGTATAAACACCTCAAAAGAGTCAAAATATTTTTATAATTATACCATATGTATAATTACAAGATACCAATAGTATATATCTGTATAATATGTGTTTATTTGTCAAACTT